GAGAGCACTGGGAAACTGCCTAATGATGTGAGAGCAGTCATTTTCACCAGCTTCTTTCTTAATGTCCTAGCTCTCCATGGCCACCACTGCAAACACATTAAGCCATTATGGACTCTTAGCAAAGATTTTCTCATGGGTTTTCACATTTACGCAGAAACAAGAAGTGCTTAAAGCTGGGATTTAACTTCAGAGTGACTATCGGCAGGATAGTACTCGCCAATGTTTTTGTTGTTTTTTTATTGTCATTGGACTATTTTAAGGGATTTGTCTTTAATGGGACAACATTAGGCAGCAGAGTGGCCTGCTTTCTGCTGAATTAAGATGAGATTAGTGATTGACTTGCGAAAGTACAAACACCCTGAAGGAACTGATCCCAGGCAGGAGACACTTCCATTATTTTTAGTGAAGAGTCTGTACCATTAGCATTGGTGCCTGAGGGGGTGTGTTAGAGGGGAGTTTGGAGCTCAGCATATTTCTGTCCTGTATGCTAATGACATATTCTACTACTTTTAAGGGATTTTCTGCTCCCCTGAGGAGCCTGATAATATCTTATTCAATGCACAACCGACCAGAGGGGTTGATATAAGTATAACCTCATAAAAGTCTCTGTTTACACAGACCAAGCATCGTCTTTCACAAATTTGACACCGTGCCCAGGTGTACAGTAAATGATCCTTATAACATGAAGTGTCTATGTGCTGGAGAATCTGTATGGCTCCCTGTGCCTCAACAGAAAGCAGTCATTAATGCTAAATGTGCCATCTGAACTGACAAATAATAACACATCCAGGTAATATTTTACCCGTACCCACGGATTTCATGAGCCACAGAAGCAGCCAGCTGTCGACAAGTGGCAGCAACAAAAATACAAGATGTCTGCACACGTCTGTAGGAGGGAGGTTGGGGAGGTCTGAGGCCTTTGAGGCTTTGGAGAGCTTCTCTGATTGCTTTTCTGCTCCTTTACAACCACCTGCAAGCATCCTGTGCTGGAGTCTGCAGTCACTCTGCTGCTCAAAACTCATGGCTGCTGGCTACGCAGCACAGAACTTTACACTGTTTTTTGCCCAACTCCCCAGGTGAGTTTAAGCATTTTGGAATATATGTGTGACTTCATCTGAGAGAACAAGAAATCTTCACCAGAGTAAAGCCATAAATTAAAGAACATACATATAATTTTCATTTTCTGCCCGTACGATTTCCTGCTGAAAGATGTTCAGTTCAACACCCAAAGCAATAAAAAAGAAGAAAAATGATTTAATTCAATCTTTCTCCAGTGAAAATTTATTAGCTTTGCTCTCTCGGGTTGGCTGTTTATCTTCTGTGATTCTTTCCATGAAATGATACAGAGAGGAAAGAGGAAGGAAGGAGTGCATGGGAAAGGAACCAGAGAAAGTACCTGTGAGTATGCCTGCTGTGTTTGAGGTCATATGTTTTTGCAAGGAAAGGCCTGGTGGACATTTGGGTCTGAAGATAGTCCTGAATGTACATGCTAAAAGTACACACACACGGCTGTGAAAGGGGAAACTGAGTCGCATCTAATGAGCTGAAGGAATGGGCGCTCATTAGTAGTTACTAGTTAAGGAAACTTTCTTATTTAAGCTTAAGGTTGATGATTGACAGAATGGTGGACTTGCAAGTGTGCATAATTTCCTCTCTGCCATCTGTACTGACCGCATTCACACTTCCATAACACTGCAAGACTAATGCCATCTGTGCTGTACTTGGTTCACCTGAGCTGAGTGATTCTGAGCATGTATTTGAGAGGATGATCTTAGAAAGAGTGTATCTTAGTAACCGATTCCTCACTGTCTACGGTATTAGAAAAGTCAAGGCACTGTAAAAATGAGTTACAGGTGGGCTAAGCCCTCAGCAGTTTCACAGAGCGCTTTAAAATTAACAGATTTCCCAGAACGAAAGTAATGGGGACTGTGACAAAATTCAGATATTCACTCATAAACCAGAGTAACAAGTGGATATTCAAATGGCATGGGGTGTGAAAACGGCTATTCCAGAGAAGCTCTTTCTGAATACAGCTGCTGTAAAAACGAAGGTACAGAAGATGCAAATAACCATCAAGCCATGTTAAACTCAGTTCAGAGCGCAGTTCAGTTGTGAACTTGCCACAAGATTATTAGAGGGAGTGTTGATTTGTGTTGATTTATTGCCTGGGAAAGCAATGTGCCACATAGTGTGGCCATAGCCTCTGTTGCTAAAAGGCTATTACTATTATGTTTTACTCAACAGCAGTGTGAAATCAATTCAATCAAGGTCATTTTACTACAGCTGGACCGACATTTTATATAGAGATGCTACCAAAATAAAAATTCCCTAAAATATTTTTCTTTTTTTTTAATGACCAACTGTTGTGCTTTGATTTGCATGTTGAATGTCAGTGCACTAATTAATTGTGGTTAATTGATAAAAACGTTTCTAACGCAGAGGGGTTAGTGTTTGATTAGATGAGGGGTGCGCACATTCTCACACACAAGCAGCGGTACACGCGCGCACCCACTGGCGCGCACAAATACAAATACTGTACATTGGATAATGTAAAGAAAGCACATGTCAGTAGATACTGTAGCTGTAGCATTTCTTTCAACCACTAACCAGGAAGTCAAACGCAATTAGCTTCTTGTCCGTGCGGTTTCCACTTACAATTAAATCTATCGGCTACTGTTGCACGAGTAGCCTATAGATTGTGTAATGCACAGACTGTGTACATGCAAAACGCGTGCAGAAAATGATCTGACAGTGAAAACTGGGGAGGAGAAAAAAAAGACATTCATCGCTGGCCTGTCTGGCCACTACTTACATCATCCCATTTCATAAATTTGTTGCCCTTTCTTAGGCTCTCGGGTACGGACACTGGCTTGAGCTGCAGCGCATGAACTCCCGGCTGTGCCCCAGCCATTGGCTCATCTACTCTTCTCAACGCACAAGCTCGGGTGGAAATGAGTCACTTCACTCTCCTCTACTCTTGTGTCTCTTCCTCTCCTTTGTAATTTTCTTAAAAGCAGCCTGGCGGAAGCCCACTACTGTTGCCAGTATGTCATGCCCGCAATGACGGCGGCGGTGGCGCGTCTCGGCTTTGGAGAGCTGCGGAGGCGGACGCAGGCGTAGCGGACCCGGGCAACTCACTGACTGACTGACTGACTGAGAGACATGCAGCTGAAGACGAGGAGAGAGAGACAGACAGAGAAAGAGAGGGACAGTGAGAGAGAGAGAGAGGGAAAGAGTGAGAGTGGTGGAGAAGGAGGGGGAATCTGAACGATTTACATGTCTGATGTCAAATTGTACAAGTCAATGCAGGGACAGGATCGATGCTTTAAGTGATCTAGCGCCTCCGTGCGTTGGTGGCAATGCGATGGGCATTTAGTGGCCCCCAAGATGGAAACAAATTAAAAGCTGAAAAAATGAGGGAATCGTTAAATCCTGATTTTTGATGATGAACATTCAAGTAAGAGAGAAAAATCTAGGAACAAATCCTTTTTTCTGATGTTCCTATCAGCTGGGATCGCCACATATAGTCACGTGAAAAAGCTTTTAACAAGTCTTACTGCAGTCCTCGGAAAAACTAAGTACACCCTGTAATTCAACAGAACCACATGTATCACTTGAAGTAATCCTTTTGTGTTGGACTCTATCAGTTTCTCATATTGCTGTGGAGGAAGTTTTAAATTCAGATTTATTTTATTTTATTTATATAGCGCCAAATCACATCAACAGTTGCCTCAAGGCACTTTTACCTACTACTCTTCACAACCTTGCTTCATTTCACTGAGGTTTGCAGGCATTTGCAGCTCTCTTAAGGTCCCACCACAGTATTTCAGTCAGGTTGAAGTCTCTATTTTAACTGGGTCATTGCAACACCTTGACTTTGTTTTTTCAACCATTCTGTTGCATCTGTTCTGGTCATTGCTCTGCTGCATGACCAAATTTCTGCCAAGTCAGTCAGACAGATGGCCTCATCTTTGACTCTAGAATATGGTACACAGAGGAGTTCACGGTCGACTTCATGATTGCAAGGTGCCCAAAGCCTGTGGCTGCAAAACAAGCTCAAATCAACACACCTTCACTGGAAAGTTGGTACAAGGCGTTTGTGCTGATATGCTGTGTTTATGCTGCACTTTATGACCAAATAGCTCCACTTTGATCTTATCTGTCTGAAGGACATTGTTCCAGAGGTCTTGTGGTTTCAGATGCAACTTAGCAAACCTATGACGTGCAGTCATGTTCTTTTTAGAGAAAAGCCTTCTTCTAGCATTTGCAGAAAAGCCATACTTGTTCAGTCTTTTTCTAATTGTCATCAACTTTAACATCTAACATGCTAACTGTGGCCTGTAGAGT